CCCTCCATAATTGGGGGGTACTGCCTTCCTAACACTTCTATGACCATTATGGTCCACTACCGCGTCAATACAAATAGTCGCCACCAGGATCAATGTTAAGAGTGCAAGATGCGCTAGGGGTGTTTATTAATATGTATGCATGGTCATAGTCTGGACATGCAACAAAATGAGAATCAATACAGAAGATCTCATTATCCTGATCCCTATCGAAAAGAATTTGGTTTTGATAATTCCCAGAAATTATCCTAGAAGAAGTATACAAACAGCATGGTCTGGTCCAGTAGTCTGGTGTTATTCCTGCCCTCTCAGTCCTCCCAGCTCCAACAGCCTTCAGAAATAAATATTTGCCTAGTAGACTAATATCTGTCTTGATGATACAGTAGATCTTAAAGTACAGCCTAATTTCTAACTCACGTCTTGGTCCTGCGCGCTGTTCTGATCCTGCCATCTTCCTGCTGCCTGCTCACTGTCCTGCACACTGTCCTAATCCTGCCATCTCCCTGCTGCCTGCACACTGTCCTGACCCTGCCATCTCCCTGCTGTCTACGCGCTGTCCTGATCCTGCCATCTTCCTGCTGCCTGCTCACTGTCCTGCACACTGTCCTGATCCTGCCATCTTCCTGCTGCCTGCTCACTGTCCTGCGCACCGTCCTGATCCTGCCATCTCCCTGCTGCCTGCTCACTGTCCTCATCCTGCCATCTCCCTGCTGCCTGCACACTGTCCTCATCCTGCCATCTCCCTGCTGCCTACTCCTGTGCCTCTCCTGCCTTCTGCCGACCACCACTTTCCTTCATAGACATTAACAGTTTGCAAAACTGCACCTATACTTTTACTGTAATGTTCTGTAGCTCTTAACACTAATATTTCCTACTTAATGTTCTTTTACCACCAAAAAAGTGTCTGACGTCTCCATCTTTGCTTTTTCTCAGTGTGTCTGTGAATAAAATCTAATCTATATTTAACAAAACAGTATCTGGGCTATCAGATGAAGCTTCTAAAAATGTCTATAAATATGAAATTGAGGAATGCAGAATCAATACCACTAAAATTCAAATAATAGGGCTTATTTGCTAACTAGCTTTTTTTACGTTGCCCCTATAGGTTTCACTGTTTTTCATGTTTTTTCAGAGCATAACGTTAGACCTTCTTATGCATTAACATTAGCCTAATAACAAACCACACAGGCTAAGTGGCGAATTAATTTCAGAAAGCACGATTTATTCATGATAAAATGAGAATGAAAACATAGGGAGTTCATCTCCTTGGAAAATGACCATGATTGATTTTACCTCACCAAATAAGCCTGGTTTAAAAAGAGAACTTCGCTTATCTTGCTAGTTAACGTAACTAACGTTGACTGTACCGGTGTTCTGTAGAAATGAGCTACTTTGTCGAGGTAAGCTATGGTTAGGGCTATCGATTAGCACAACGGTAGCTAACCTCGACAAAGTAGCTCAACTCGACAGAACACCGGTCTCAGAAGGACAATGGTAATTCAACTTATAAAGACGTCAGCTTGCATTAGTCGATGAAACACTTAAACGAATAAATGAAGGTTGTAAAATAACACATTTTCAACAGGCTAGACTTCTGCTGGCTACATACATTTACCAATGCACGACAAACAGTACCATGACAGACAAACACAATGAACAGGTCACTCAATAAGAATGAATGACGCAACTGACTGGTGGTTAAAATGGTATGGTCCACATTAGGGGTGTCTGAAATAGTTTTACATAAAATTTTCCTACAAGGTGAGGTTCTCTCTTTTTTTTTTTTTACAACAAAAACAAAAATGCTAAGACCCCCCCATAAACTGCTATTTTTGTTTCTTTGGGGGGGGGGTCTGGGTCTTGATTGGGGGGTACAGTAAGCCCCAGTACCCCCCGTAATTCGAACCATGGCTAAAAGCACTCAAGAAATGTTGAGAAAAAAACATTGGACTATTCTTCAATGGCCTTCCATGAGCCCTGATCGTATTCCTATTGAACATCTATGGAAATATCTGAAAATTGCAGTGTGGAGACACGACCCTGGAGCAGTTTGCGCAAGAAGAGTGGGCCAAAGTACCATTTGGCATATGCAAACGTCTCATTCTGAAGTACAGAAATCACTTGTTGGCAATGATTGCTGCAAAGGGTGGTGCCACAAAATACTAAATTAATTATACATAATATTCAGCCGAATCAATAATCAAAAGCAAAGTCTGATTCGTGTTAAATATGGAATAAACAATAAGGGATGCAATTAAACATTTGTCAGTTTCAGGTTGTTTTTTTTTTGTTTTTTGTGCAAGGGTACCAACAAATTTGTCCACGTCTGTACAACATTAACTTAGCTGCCAGAAACATCACAAATATTCATAGCACTATGGAATATGTTATCCATATCATGGATCTACATACCATGGTGCAATAATTTGTCGTCAGATTGTGATGTGGTCATCTGATCATGGATTATCACGTAATTGAATGTATCTAAATACTTTATTCAAAATTAGCTCTAAAGTTGCTTTAGTATATGGTCGTAAATCCATTGGTCTGTTATACACAACTCTAGACCAGGACTCCAGTTGGATGTCCCCTATCACTGGTCCGACTGTTGAATTCCCAATGATCAATATTCATAGATTTTAGACTCACCTCAGATTCTTCCGGGGGTGGAGGAGAACCTAAATACTGAAGATACCCATGTGCAGAACAACCACCGAAAGGGGGAGAAAATCCGAACACTACTAGACGCCGCAAGACAACATCAAAAATGCACCACGCAGAGAGCCTCTCCAGACCTCACCCCCCCACACACTCCATCTCTCAATCATCTCATCACCTCTCCAAAAAGCTGCAAAGATGTAAACTCCCTTTCATTCATTTGATAATCTGACCTGTACTGTCCATCTGTTTTATAATTTTGGGTCAGGCTTCCAAGATTGAGGGCTTGCTTTGTAGAACAGCATTAACCTTGAAGGTTACCCATTAATTTAGTTACTGTTGTCCCATATTCCATCCTGCTCATTGATTTTATTCTGTTATTTTATGTTTGTTTCATGTTAATCGTAATGTCTGTCGTGTTAGTTGTAGTGTTAGAAATAAATGCATGCCTTTCTACATTTTAAATCTCTGGTTGAGTCTCATAATAAAGTCATTTTACTGGTGCGAACTGCCCTAAGCTGTTAAAAGTCCCAGGTTTCTCTCAAAGTACTGCTTATGTTTATGTTATGTTTGCTGGATGAACATTTTACATTCATATCCTGGAACTAAATCTCCAGTAACTGACTAATTGGGACTTCAAAATGTTGCTAGAGAAACAAACCATTCAAGCATGATTAATAATTGATTGATTAATTAAATGTCAATTTCCCTACATATTGGAGGAGACACAAATTATTTGAGCAAATTTTTCCTACATTATAATTTATTGTAATTTTGCTGCTGCATCTCGTTGGCTCATTTTTGGCAGCTTATCTTAAGATTTGATGAGTGTATATTTGTCTGAGAGAAAATTACTTTCTTTTCCCATCATGTTTTCTGTGCACAGAGCATTAGCCTCAGCTAGCTAGCCAGAAGCAGACAGGTTACTGCAAGGCAAGTAGGGCTATCAAAGTAAAGTTAAAAAAAGAATTTCCATAGTTTTGATTTTTTCCATATGTTGTCATGTATATAAAAAAAAACCCAAATGAACACTAAGTGGACTACTTGATTACAATAAGTGAATTATTTAAGCAGTATTTGTACAGGAATGATTCTGTCCCAAACTTATAGTATTTTTACAAAGCAGTTGATCATTATAACTGTGATCATAACCTTTTTTTTTTTTAACTTCAGGGGCTCCATGAATTACAGCATACCAGACTGTTCTCTGTGACCTGCCCCCACCCCACCCCATCGAACACCAACACACAATAGCAAGCTGGCACCACATACGTCAACAAGTGAAGAGCTTGCCTCAAAAATTGGCAGCGTCTCCTTAGTCATTTGTAAGTGTTTTGGTTATACAAAGTCCGTCACAGAACAAACCACTTCCTGCTGTAAAGTTTGTCTGAAATCTTTCTACTAAAGGTAGCAGCACAAGAAATTTATTTTAGTATCTTATACAGAGGCACGCAGCCGACTGACAGGAGTGTGTAGCTTTGTGAGATATGCAAAATAGCCGCAGCCTACAAACACCTGTTAAAAAGCAGGAAAGAACAGTGACGTCCTTTTCACATTGATTCCCAAATGATAATAAGGGATCCAGGTTGAAAGAAATTACAGATGCGGTGATGTTTCATATTCCCAAAGATGGAAAAAACAGGTTCATTCAGATGCTAAATAAAATTGACCCCAGATAGGAACATAGTATTTTACCAAAGTAGCCTTTCCCCTTCTATACAGCAGTATGTATTTGCTTGTTTTGTTTTTATACTCTAAATCAGAATTATTTATTATTTTTAGGCCATATCGCCCAGCCTACCTCACTATCACTGCCTTCAGTATTTGTGTACATTGTATTACAATTTTGCACACACACCACACTAACCGCCTATTGCAGTATTTGGCTACTTGCTGCTGCACCAATACCAGTGGATCCCATATTGTGCACATCTTGCTGTTCATTTTGTACATTTTATTGTTTCATTTTATTTATTGTTTTATTACTTCTGGTTAAACCCTATACCCCCATTTGGTCGAGGCTCCCAGGAAAACAACAATTTCATTCTCATTACCTTTGTTTTGGACAATAACAATAGATTCTTATCTTATCTTGAAGTCTATGAGTGAGTCTATTAGGCTATTAGTGAGGCAGAAAATGTTTTGCTTCACTGAAGTTCCTTTTATCAACCCAGTAGTTGTGCTGTTTTGTACAATAGTTTGATAGATATTATTTGAACACCCACACTTATTTTGGTTAAATTGATATCTTACGTGAAACAAATGTTACGTTTCCTTTACTTCTCTTTTTTTTTGCTGAAGCTTTGCTTGACCTGATGTCTTAAAGAAATCACCACTTATTGTACCTCTGAGTCATCATTGCAGTCTTCTGCCATTGTTGAACTGGAATGCTGTCGTGGAATTTTTGTCTCATATACCATGATACTCCATCTATGAAGAAAGGCAAGAGCCCTGATCAAGCACAAATGAACGGTCAATGTGTCTTTACAGCTCAGTTCATTCCTGTCTTTCTCATGATTCTCTTACCTGTCCAGCATCTTTGTACTGGCTCTCTCCAGTTTCTCTAAGATTTGTGGTAGTTGGGTATCATCATCACATGCGGACCCCCAGCCCAGCACCCGTGCCAGATCATTCCCTGTGCCCAGTGGCAAAACACCTAGTTGGCACTGCAACCAGATCAGATAAAAATCTTTTGCACCTCAACATGGAAGGACAAACCCCACCTTAACGGGTTATTTTACAAAACACAAGTCAAAATGAAAAAAAAAACCAGAGATTTTCATTACACTTCATAATGAATGGACAAAATCTCTTAACCTCTTAATTGTACATATTTCTGATTTCAGATTACATGATTTTCACAAGAGTATTTTTTTTTTCAGGAATAGCCCTTTTCATACAAGTCAAACTAACAGTAAAATAACATGCAGAGACCAGACTTATGTCTACTGTCATTATTCAATTTTACTTTCAAGTTCCTTGGTGACAATCATCAACAGATATACATAGGTTACCCAGATAACAAATGTTCCCCATTGCAAATTTAAAACTGCATTGGTTTCTACAACCCCTGGCATAAATTATGGAATCACCAGTCTTGGAGGATGTTCATTCAGTTGTTTTATTTTTTAGACAAAAAGCAGATCACAGACAAGACACAAAACTAAGTTAAGGTCAAATGGCAACTTTCCAGCTTTACGAAACATTAAAAGAAATCAAGAAAGAAACATACTTAGTCAGTAAGAGTTGCCTTTTTTAGACCAAGCAAAGGGAAAAAAATATGGAATCACTTAATTCCAAGGAAAAAATTATGGAATCATTGAAAATAAACAAACCAAAAAAGACCGCAACACACCCCTAGTACTTTGTTGCACCACCTCTGGCTTTTATAATGGCTCGCAGTCTCTGAGGCATGGACTTAATGAGTGACAAACAGTACTCATCATCAATCTGGCTCCAACTGTCTCTAATCGCAGTTG